TGAAACATCCCAGCTGGTATTCCGTCAATTCCTGGAGCCTTGTTTTTCACCAAAGCCTTCAGTGCAGCTTGGACTTTTTCCTTCAGTACCATTGGTTCTTGATCATATGCTTCCTCCTGAAATGGTTGAATGTTGACCAGTTCTTTTTGGTACAGTGACTGTGTGTATTCCTTCCATCTTCTTTTGATGCTTCCTGCATTGTCCAATTTTTGCCCATAGAATCCTTCAGTATTGCAACTGGAGGCTTGAATTTTATCTTCAGTTCTTTCAGCTTGAGAACTGCCGAAGGTGTTCTTCCCTTTTAGTTTTGTAACTCCAGGTCTTTGCACATTTCATTACCTTCAAGACACATCACTCTACCTTTAGGAGCAAGTTCCAGAGGCTCTTCTAACATCCATTTTAGTCTTTTCTTTCTTTCCTGTCTTTTTAATGACCTTTTGCTTTCTTCACCAGATGAGTAGGAGGGGAGCCCATAATTAAGGCCCAAATAATGGCCCCGACTTAAGGAGGTGGAGAGAGTCAGAGAGGATAGGTCATGTAGCCTGGAGGAGACTTCATACAGGGGTTGGGACCTGAGTTGGGCCTTGAAGGGTAGAGGATCTCCTCCAGGAGAGGAGCCCTGGTGACACGATGGTTAAGCTCATGGCTGCTACCCAAATGGTCATTGATTGGAATCCACCAGCAGCTCCGCAGGAGAAAAGACATGGCAATCTGCCCCATAAAGTTTTACAGCCTAGGAAACCCTATAGGTCAGTTCTGCTCTGTCCTATAGGGTGGCTATGAGTCAGAATCGAGTCAGTGGCATACAACAGCAAAAGGAGAAGGAAGGGCATTTCAGATTTGAGAAGCAAGTAGACAAGGAAAAGACATGGAACTGAAGTGAGAAAGGTAGGTTAATGAGGCAGGGAAAGATCGGCTCTACTCTGCCTGCTGCATAGCTGTTTTTCTGGCACTTACCTTCACTTTCCTCCCTTGTTGGTTTTCTGGTTTCTATAAGGAAATTGTGTTTGATGACTAATTACAGACTTGGAGAGTGGCTTATATAAAAGGTAGGAGTTTTTTCCTCTCCTCACATAATGGGATATCCAGAGGTAGGCAGTCCAGGGCAGTATGAGAGGGACAGGATATCATGGGGACAAGGCCCCTTCCAGCAGTCCCCTTCTTGCCTAGGGTCTGGCTCTCATCTTCATGAGGATAAGATGGCAGTTGTGATTCCAGCTATTCCATCTGTATTCTAGGCAGGAAGAAAGAGGAAGGGTAAAGGGAGGAAGGGACCTGAAAGCTGCTTAACTCTTTAAAGCGCTTGTCTGGAAATAACATTTGACCACTTCTGAGTACCTCTTACTGACCACCCCTATCTGTTAGGGGGCTGGGAGACGTAGATTTTCGTCTGGTCATATTGCCTCCCCCATAAATGAGTAGTTCTGTTAGTAGGGAAAAGAAGCCTGCTGGATTTGGGGAAGGTACTCAGCCATTTCTACACTTGGATTTCATCCTCTTGGTTTACGTCCTCATTTTGCAGACATGCACATTCCAGGTGCTGCCTAAGAAAGGAGGCGCGGGAAATAAATCTTGAGTTCTTACATGGCCATTAGTGTTTCTATTCCACCCTAGTTTGGATGGGTAGGAGACCTAGGCATCAAACTCCACTGCATGTTTAGACTTTTTACCAATCCTCTTGGTTTTGCTTTTTTTAAAAAAAATATGTAACAGCTTTATTGAGATATAATTCACCCCCCTCTTTTAAAGTGTACAGTTCATTGACTTTTAGTGTATTCACAGAGTTGTGCAACCATCACCACAATCAGTTTTAGAACATTTTCGTCACCCTGAAAGAAACCCCATTGGTTATCCCCAATCCCCCTCCAGCCCTAAGCAACTGCTGATCTACTTTCTGACTATAGATTTGCCTTTTTTGAACATGAATCATACAATATGTGTTTTCTGTGACTGAGTTCTTTTAACTGAGCATAATGTTTTCAAGGTTCATCCATGTTGTAGCTGTATCAGTATATACTTCATTCATTTTTATGTCTGAATAATATTCTATTTTATAAATATACTATCTTTTATTCATCCATTCATCAGCTGATGGGCATTTGGGTTGTTTCCACTTTTTGGCTCTTATGAATAATGCTGCTATGAACATTTGTGTACAAGTTTTTGTGTGGACATATGTTCTCATTTCTCTTGGCTACATACCTAAGAGTGGAATTGCTGGGTCATGATGGTAAATTTTTACTTTTGAGGAACTGCCAGACTGTTTCCCAAAGTGGTTGCATCATTTTACATTCCCATTAGCAGTGTACAAAGGTTAGTCCCTCCCTTTTTAGCCTCATGGTTCATCCCCGCCTTCCACATCACCAGGTGCCTTCGAGTCTCAGACTTGTCTGGGGTTTGCAGGGTGATTTGGCCCACTCTTCATGGTGGTGCCCCTCTGCAGGCATCAGGTTTCACTTCCTCTGCTCTGCTACGTCAGGTACCACTCCTGTGCCTGCTTTCTGCCTTCCTGAGGGGCACTGGTGTCTCCTGTCTGCTCCTCTTCTTTTTATCCTTGATCTTCTGTCTGCTCCTCTTCTTTTTATCCTGTCTGCTCCTCTTCTTTTTATCCTGGGTCCTTGTGGGTTTGTTGTTATTATTAGCTGCTGTTGAGCCAGCCCCAGACTCATGGCAGCCCCATGCAGAAGGAAACTAAACACTGCTCAGTCCTGCACCATCTGCATAATCAGTTGTGGATTGGATTATTTTGATCACAGGGTTTTCCTGGACTGATTTTTGGAAGTAGATCACCAGGCTTTCTTCCTAATCTGTCTTAATCCAGAAGATTTTTAGCATCATACTAACACAGGTAGTGGCTGCACTTAAAGTCATTGGCTGGAAATCAAGCCCGGACCTCCCTCATGGAAGGCAAGGATTCTACCACTGAATCATCACAGAGCTTTTTAATTCCTTTACCAGCATTTTAATGAGGTTTAGTAGGGAACAGAGGTAAAAGCACACATTCTGTCTGCTATGTCTAACCAGAAGCCTTCCTCACATTGTAAGGCTTCCATCTCTGCCTTTATGTGTGTATCCCCTCAGTCTGAAAGCTCCTCCTCACCTCCTACTTCCCTTTAAAGTTCAACTCAGGTAATATTCACTGTCTTAGTTTCCTAGTGCTGCTGTAACAGAAATACCACAAGTGGATGCTTTTGAAGAACAGAAATTTATTTTCTCACCGTTCAGGGGCCTAGAAGTCTGAATTTAGGGTATCAACTCTAGGGGGAGATCCTTTTCCTTGGATCTTTTAGCTTCCATAGCCCCAGTGTTGTTTGGTTCCTTGGTGAACCTCACGTGGCATCTGTGTCTTCCCCGTTTGTGCAGGTATCTATGACTAATCAGCTCTTTTTGTAACTCAGAAATGATTGTATACTCTACCCTGACAAGACATCATAACAAAGCCTTATTTTCAAACAGGATTACATCCACAGGTATAGGGGTTAGGATTCCAACACTTGTTATGGAGAACACAATTTAATCCATAACATTCACCTTTCTCCTCAGGATGTTAATGACTCTCTTCTTTCTATTTGCTACCTCTGCATTTCATTCATACTTTTCTTGATGCTTTTATAGTATCTGTCTTCACACTTATCTCCCTTTTAAATATTGAATTCCTAAAGGGAAGGAGGGAGGCTTATCATCTGTTTGCCCCTCAGAGCCTACCTAGCACATTATGTAAGTTCAGTTAATAATTACTGAATGAATTGAAGTGAACTGCAATGTCACAGGAATTTAAAAGAGGGACAGTAAAAATTGCCATAGTTGGGGAGGGTACAAAGCCATCCTGACCCAGTCATTTTGACCCTGAAGGCAGTTGACAGATATTTTTATCAGAATTATACCAGCCTTGCTGAATTTGCATCAAGAAAGTATTTTCTAGAGAAAATTCTATTTCAACTTAATTCCTTGCTCATTTTTTAATGTAGCTCAGTCAAGCCATTTATAGTATATGGCAGAAAATAGTCTGTGCTCAGATTTGCAGATGAATTATTCTGGGATTATTTAGAAAAGTAATGCTCTCTTTTGGTGGGAGGATTTAAAAAAGCAGCTATAGTTTGTAATTTTTATACTGATTGGCAAGTTGGAGATCATATCAGCAGAACTGTGATTTTATGTACTTCCAGTGATCAGAAAAGTAACACAGGCATTTCTGGTATTGATGCCAAATGTTTTGGTTTTAATTATTGGAAAGACTGCATGAATTTCAGATCATGCAGAACAGACTCATCCTGGAATCTGGACAGATACAAATTCTAAGCAATAGGAAAATAGAATACAAAGCAGCCAGAAAAATGATTTTACAAATATTTCCTGTTTTCATTTTTATTTTACTGAAATCATTTTTCATTGGGATGAGGTGAATTCTTTTCCTTATACATTTTATAGTAGTGGTTTGATTCATTGATCAATTTTTGTGTCAATATTCAATTCTCATTGATTTTTTAAAATTGTAAGTTCTGTTGGTGCCATTATTGCTATCAAGTTCAGCTTTCAGTGGGGTGATGAGGGGTACCAAATTTCACAATTCATTTTCTTTAGCTGCTTTCACATTTCATGTATGTGATTGCTGATTATTTCTAACAAAGAAAAATTTATTATGAATTGAATAAAAGAATGACAATTTGTATTTAGTTCTTAGCTAATCCATGAAAAAATTAGGAGCAGTCTCTCTTCAGACATTTCAGGATGGCTCTACTATCTAGCATGGGTCTATTTTACTCCTAATCTAATTCTTCTCCTTCCTTCCAATCACTTTGAAAACTATGTGCTAACTGTCTACACTACTGGAACAAAAAGCAAAAGGCAGGACCACAATACTCGGTTTGATGTGTTCTGAAAGCTTCATGGGAGAGGCAAGAAGGGAGAAATTCTGCATTAGGATAAATGTCTGGATAGACTTCATCTAGTCTTCACCTTTCTTGGTCTGTAAGACTTAAATTCATGTTCATTTTTTCTAGGTCCATGGAAAGAAGTTATTCCTTAGATTTCATCCAGATGAAGAAATGAGGCCTCCTGGAAACAATCCACTATCAGAGCCTCTACGAAAAGGAGCTAGGAAGGAAAAGGCCATGGACCAAACACAGACCTTGGGGCCTGATGGATCGAAAATTTCTGACCAATCCTTAAGGTCCACAGAGCTTGTTCCCAATGGAGAAGATAGTTCCGATTGTTTAGGGGGAGATGCTCCTGTAGGAGATGTTGAGAGGTGGCTCCATGTCAGCTTTGGTTTGTTTGGCAGCATATGGGTGAACAAATTCTCCAGAGCCAAGAAAGCAAACAAGAGGGGTGACTGGAGGGATCCTATCCCAAGGTAATGGCATGGTTGAACAGGTAGCAAGGCTGTGAATGTCCGGGTCTCCATAGGGTCTGTAGTATTCAACATTTTTTAGGTGCCCACCATGGTGGGATTTGGGGCTAGGCTGTGGGAGCATGCTCAGGTGGATATAGACCAAGTTGGAGAAGAGCCCTAGTGGTGTAGTGGTTAGAGCGCCTGGCTGCTAACCAGAAGTTCAGGAGTTCAAACCCACCAGCCACTTTGCAAGAGAAAGATGTGGCAGTCTGCTTCTGTAAAGATTTACAGCCTTGGAAGCCCTATGAAATAGTTCTGTTCTGTTCTGTAGGGTCGCTATGAGGTGGAGTTGACTTGAACGCAGTGGGTGTGGTTGATTTTGGGTTATCAAGGAGCTTGCTGTCTAGGAAAGAGAAGAAGCATCTATATCTACCCATAATAGAAAGTAGACTGTAATCTGTACTCCAAGAGGAGAATGACAAAATTCTGTGTAGCTTAGAAAAGGGGAAGGACTTTTTGAACAAAGGTGGCACTTGAGGACAGGAGGGCCTTGAAGGACATTTTATGGCCTGATGAGTGTACTCTGAATTTAAGGACATGATTTTTCCAGCTCTTAATCCATTAATGTTGAGAAAATATCTTTGTGCATAAAACTCTACCTGTGTTTAGGATTATTCCCTTAGTATAGATTCCCAAAAGAGTAATTGCTGGTGAAAGAAAATGAACATTCTTAAGGCTGAACATTTTTATTGCCTTCAAAAGTGCTAGCTTAGTTGAATTCTCACTAGCATTGAGTTGATTGTCTACTTTTTATTAATTTGTAGATGCTTTTGGATATCAAATCTGTTAACCTTTGTGATATGTGTTACCAGTATTGTTTCTTATCTATCATATGTCCTTTGATTTGTTGCTGGCACCTTTACATTCAGGATTTGTAGTTTTTATGTAGTCAGTGGTCAGTGTTTTCCTTGATGGCTTTTAAGTTTCTCCTCTTACTAAAGAAGGCCTTTTTACACTCTACTTTTTAGAATTTTTTATTTATGTTTGGAACTGTAATCTTTCTTTATGGTATAAAATGGGAAAGTAGGATGCTCTAGGCTATAAAATTAACTCACACTAGCTTAAATGATGAGGAGATCCTTTTTTTGCTCATATAGTTAGAAGTCTGGAGGGAGGGTAGGCTTTGGAGTTGATTCAGTTTCAAGGTTCTGGCTCATTTTTTTGCAGTTCTCCTGGCTTTGTACTTTCTTACATGTTGATTATGTCCTTAGACCAGCAGCAAGATGGCTGTTGCAGTTCTGTGCCTTACATCCACACAAGAAAACATCCAGAGAAAGAAAGAGGGTTATTTCTAGAAATTTTGATGAGCGAGGCTTTCTCAGAAACCTCTCTTTGCCTCAAATTGAGTGATGTGCTGATTCCTGAATTAATCACCAGCTCCCAGTACCAGTTGCTGTTGAGTCGATTCTAACTCATGGTGACCCTGTGTGTGTCAGAGTAGAACTGTGCTCCTTAGGGCTTTCAGTGGCTAATTTTTCAGAAGTAGATCACCAGGCTTTTTTTCCAAGATGCAAGATGGACTTGAACCTCCAACCTTTCAGTTAGCAGCAGGGTGCTTTCACTGTACCATCTAGGGACTCCAGTCACCAGTTGTAGTCGTTGGGTGCCATCCAGTCGATTTCAACTCATAGCAACACCATGTAACAGAGTAGAGCTGCCCCATAGGGTTTTCTAGGCTATAATCTTTACAGGAAGGAATCTTTACAGGAAGACCGAAGAAGAATTGAATTATGGTATTGGTGAAGAATATTGAATGTACCATGGACTGCCAAAAGAACGAACAAATCTGTCTTGGAAGAAGTACAGCCACAATGCTCCTTGGAAGCAAGGATGGCGAGACTGTGTCTCACATACTTTGGACATGTTGTCAGGAGGGATCAATTCCTGGAAAAGGACATCATGCTTGGTAAAGTAGAGGGTCAGCAAGAAAGAGGAAGACCCTCAATGAGATGGATTGACACCGTGGCTGCAACAATGAGCTCAAGCATAACAGTGATTGTGAGGATGGCGTAGAACCAGACAGTGTTTTGTTCTGTTGTACGTAGGGTCGCCATGAGTCGGAACTGACTCGACAGCACCTAACAACAACAATATAAAACAAACAATAACACATATAAGGAACATGCTTCTTAGCTCAATCAAGTATGCAAGACCACATGGGCAACACTTGCCCAAAAGCAAAGACAAGAAGGCAGGAAGGGACAAGAAAACTGGACAAATGGACACGGAGAAGCCAGGGTGGAAAGGGAAAGGTGAGAGTGCTGACACATTTCGGGGATTGCAGCCAATGTCACAAAACAATTTGTATATATAAATTTTTGATTGAGAAACTATCATTTGTGCTGTAAACTTCACTTAAAATTTAAAAAAAGTAATATGGAATGCTTAAAGATAGATATCCTAGGCATTAGTGAGCTGAAATGGAATGGTATTGGCCGTTTTGAATCGGACACTCATATGTTCTGCTATTTCGGGAATGACAAATTGAAGGGGAACAGCATCGCATTCATTGTCAGAAAGAACGCTTCAAGATCTATTGTGAAGTGCAGTGCTGTCAATGATAAGATAATGTCTTAGGCTGGATTCTCTAGAGAAGCAAAACCAGTGAAGAATATATATACACACACACACACACGCACACGCACACGCACACGCACACACACACACACACACACACATACACATACACATATATATATGTATATATATAGACACAGTGGTTGCAACAATAGGCTCAAGCATAATAACAATTGTAAGGAAGGCACAGGACCAGACACTGTTTCGTTCTGTTGTACGTAGGGTCACTGTGAGTCGAAACCAACTCAATGACACCTAACAACAACAACATACATATATATATGTAGAGAGAGAGAGGTTGATTTATCTTAAGGAAATAGCTCACACAGTTGTAGAGGCTGGCAAGTCCCAAGTCTGTGGGTCAAGTGTCAGGTTGGAGGCTTCTCCTGACTCATATAGCTGCAGGGGCTGACGAACCCAAGATCCACAGGTGAGAGGGCAGGCTGCTTGCCCAAGTCCCAAGAACTGGAGGTGTTACGCTGTCAAGCCCAATGCAGGATCCAGAGCTGAGGTATAGCCAGGGAGCTTTGCCAGAAAGTCCACATATATTAGATGGAGACTACACCCCCAAGGAAACTCCCCTTTAACTGATTGATTACTCATAGCAGATCTCATCATGGAAGTGATTACAGTATATCAGATTTCATCATTATATGACTGCCAAACTACATCATAACTGCGAAATCATGAGAATCATGGCCCAGCCAAGTTGACATACAACCTTGAAGATCACAGATGATATCCATACACCTGCAAGAAGACCGGTTAATACAACTGTTATTCAAACGTATATACCAACCACTAATGCCAAAGATGAAAAAATTGAAGATTTTTACCAACTTCTGCATTCTGAAAGTGATCAAACATGCAGTCAAGATGCATTGATAATTACTGGTGATTGGAATGCAAAAGTTGGAAATGAAGAAGGATTGGTAGTTGGAAAATAGGGCTTTGGTGATAGAAACAATGCCAGAGATTGCAGGACAGAATGTTATAAGACCAACGATCTGTTTATTGGAAATGCCTTTTTTGAACAACATAATTGTGACCATACACATACACCACGACAGATGGAATACACAGGAATCAAACTGACTACATCTGTGGAAAGACACAATGGAGAAGCTCAGTATTGTCAGTCAGAACAAGGCCAGGCGCCAACTGCAGAACAGAGCATCAATTGCTCATATGCAGGTTCAAGTTGAAGCTGAAGAATATTCGAGCAAGTCCACAAGAGCCAAAATACAACCTTGAGTGTATCCCACCTGAATTTAGAGACCATCTCAAGAATAGATTTGATGCATTGAACATTAATGACTGAAGACCAGACGAATTGTGGGCTGATATCAAGGACGTCATACATGAAGAAACCAAAAGGTCATTAGAGACAGGAAAGAAAGAAAAGATCAAAATGAGTGTCAGAAGATACTCAGTCTTGTTCTTGAATGTAGAGTAGCTACAGCAAACAAGAAATGATGAAGTGAAAGAGCTGAACAGAAGATTTCAAAGGGCAGCTTGAGAAGACAAAGTAAAGTATTATAATGACATGTGCAAAGACCTGGAGTTAGAAAACCAAAAGTGAAGAACATGCTTGGCATTTCTCAAGCTTAAAGACTTGAAAAAAATTCAAGCTTCAAGTTGCAGTATTGATTCTGTGGGGAAAAAATTTGAACGATGCAGGAAACATCAAAAGAAGATGGACAGAATATATGGAGTCACTGAACCAAAAAGAATTGGTTGACATTCAGCCTTTTCATTAGCTGGCATATGATCAAGAACTGATGGTATTGAAGGAAGAAGTCCAAGCTGCACTGAAGGCATTGGCAAAAAACAAGACTCCCAGAATTGATGGTATACCAGTTGAGATATTTCAACAGATACAACACTGAAAGTACTCACTTGTCTATGTCAAGAAATTTGTAACAGTTACCTGGCCACTGACTGGAAGAGATCCATATTCCTGCCCTTTCCAAAGAAAGGCTATCCAACAGAATGTGGAAGTTATCGAATAATATCAGTAATATCATATGCAAATAACATTTTGCCAAGGTAATTAAAAAACAGTTGCAGCAGCACATTAACAGGGAGCTGCCAGAAATCAAGCTGGATTCAGAAGAGGATGTGGACCAAGGGATATCATTGCTGATATTGGATGGATCTTGGCTGAAAGCAAAGAATGCCAGAAAGATGTTTACCTGTGTTTTATTGACTATACAAAGGTATTTGAGCAAATTTTGGATAACTTTGCGAAGAATGAGAATTCCAGAACACTTAATTGTGCTCATGTAGAACCTGTACATAGACCAAGAGGCAGTCGTTCGAACAGAACAAGGGGATACTGCATGGCTTAAAATCAGGAAAGGTGTGCGTCAGGGTTGTATCCTTTCTGTATGCTCGGTAAATAATCTGAGAAGCTGAACTATATGAGAACGTGGTATCAGGATTGGAGGAAGATTCATTAACAACCTGCGATATACAGATGACACTACCTTGCTTGCTGAAAGCAAAGAGGACTTGAAGTACTTACTGATGAAGATCAAAGACTGCAGCTTTCAGCATGGATTGCACCTTAATGTGAAGAAAACAAAATCCTCACAACTGTACCAATAAATAACATAAATGGAGAAAACATTGAAGTTGTGAAAGATTTCATTTTACTTGGATCCACATTCAGTGCCCATGGAAGCAGCAATCAAGAAATCAAAGGACATATTGCATTGGGAAAATCTGCTGCAAAAGACCTCTTTGAAGTGTTAAAAAGCAAAGATGTCACTTTGAGGACTAAGGTGTGCCTGACCCAAGCCATGGTATTTTCAGTTGCCTCATATGCATGCGAAAGCTGGGCAATGAATAAGGAAGACCGAAGAAGAGCTGATGCCTTTGAATTATGGTGCTGGTGAAGAATATTGAATATACTGTGGACTGCCAGAAAAAGAAACACATCTGTTTTGAAAGAAGTACAGCCAGAATGCTCCATAGAAGCAAGGATGGTGAGACTTCGTCTCAGGTATTTTGTACATGTTATCAGGAGGGACCAGTCCCTGGAGAAGGACATCATGCTTGGTAAAGTAGAGGGAGAGGATCAGCGAAAAAGAGGAAGACCCTCAACAAGATGGATTGACACAGTGGCTGCAGCGGTGGGCTCAAACCTAGCAACGAATGTCAAGATGGCATAGGACTGGGCAGTGTTTCGTTCTGTTGTATGTAGGGTCGATATGAGTCAGAATCAACTTAATGGCACCTAACAACAGCAACAACATGTATTTTTCCTGGAGTAATTGTCTCAGATGATATGTGTCTTAGTTATCCAGTGCTGCTGTAACAGAAATACCACAAATGGGTGGGTTTAGCAAACAAATTTATTTTCTCACAGTTTAGGAGGCTAGAAGTCCAAATTCAGGGGTACCCGCTCTAGGGGAAGGCTTTCTCTCTCTCTCAGTTCTGGGGAAGGTCCTTGTCTCTTTTGAGCTTCTGTTGCTGGGCAGTCATCATTTGGCTTGGCATCTCTCTTCCCCCTACTCTGCTTTTTGCTTGTTTGTTTAATCTCTTTTATATCTCAAAAGAGATTGACTTAAGACACCCTACACTAATACTGTCTCATTACCATGACAAAAAAAAAAAAATTCCCATATGAGATTATAACCACCACAGGGGTTAGGATTTACAACACATATTTTGGGAAGCACAATTCAATTCCTAATGGTGTTTGTAGATATTTTCTGAGTCTTTGCTTGTTTAAAGTTGTCCTTTTACTTTCACATAATAATATCTAGGTTAGATGCATGAATCTGAGGGGTTTAGTCTCCTTCAGATGTGTAGTTCAATGCCAGTCTGATTATCTTTCCTTACAAAGTAACTGATTATTTCTTTATCAAAGTTTGTGGGTTCTGCTTTGTCCTTGGAATATAGGAAACTCATAAGAGTGTGTGTAGGGGTGTTTTGTTGTTGTTTTAGTTTGGTTTGGTTTTGGCAAATCTTCTTGGGACTGGGTGTGTTGTCTCCCTAGCATCCATTCTCCTCCCTCCTCCAGGGAGCCCTGTTTTTATTTGGGGAATTACACCTCCAACGTGTTTTGCTATAATCAGAAAAAGGAAGTACATGTATATGTGTGTGGGGTTGTCTTTTTTAAGCCACTTCACTTAGCCCTGAGATTTTTAATGATCCCTTTTCTCTTTTGGGACCTTTTTGTTAACTACTGTCAAGCCTGTGCTGACTCATGGTGACCCCAAGTACAACGGAATGAAATGTTGCCCAGTTCTGTGCCATCACCATAATCAGTTGTGGATCAGACCATTGTGACCCATAGGGTTTTTATTGGCTGATTTTCAGAAGTAAATTGCTAGGCCTTTTTTCCTAGCCCATCTTAGACTAGAAGCTCTACTGAAGCCTGTTCAGCACCAGAGCAACACGAAAGCCTCCACTGACAGACTGTGCATGAGGGGCACTGGCTGGGCCTCAAGCCCTGGTTTCCCACATGGAAGGCGAGAATTGTAACACTGAACCACCAATGAGTGCCCCCCTTTGGGATCTTATTTTCTCCAAATTAATCCTGACTGTATTGTGGAAGATGTATATAGTTATGATGTGACGATGCTGTGGAAGCTGTATATTTGTATGATCTGACTGTATTGTGGTGGTTTATGTACACATAATCTTTTATTTCTTTCCAGATTGGTCCTGAACTTTGGTGGTGGTGGCTTCCTGGCATTTTACAATTGTCAGATGTCTTGGAGCTCTTCCCCAGTGGTCAAACCCAACTCTGACATCTTGTCTGAAAAGTTTCATCGAGGACAAGCCTTGGAAGCTCTAGGCCAGGCTCAGCCTGTCTGCTGTATACTACTGGACCAAAGATACTTTTCAGGTTTAGGTATGACTGATGAGAAGAGGATGAGACTCATCGAGTTCTTTAATAGAAAAGTCACTTGTCTATGAATCATAGGAGCCCCTGGGTGATGCACATGGTTAATACACTTGGCTACTAACCAAAAGGTTGGAGGTTCAAGTCCACCTAGAGGTGCCTTGGAAGAAAGGCCTGGCAGTCTACTTCCAAAAAATCAGCCATTGAAAACCCTATGGAGTGTAGTTCTACTCTGACACACATGGGGTCACCATGAGTTGGAATCGACTCAGTGGCAGCTGGTCGTGAGTTACTAGACCTGAGACCCAGCCCCAAGTGTACCTGTACTATTGGGTCTTAAAGAGATCACTTCATTGTTTTAGCTTCACTTCGCTTATTTTTAAACCTAGTAATTTCCAACTTATTTCCTAGCTTCAGAATTCATACTCAAATTATATTATCAGTTGAAAACCTGTCTGACTGCTGCATTAGAATGTAACTTCCTAAAGGGCAGGGTCCTATCTCATGCTTCCTCTTGATCTTCGCTACCTAGCATAGTGCCTGGCCTAGGCGGTGCTTGATCAGTGTCTGTTAGGAATGGACAGTAGTGAATTTGCTAATGGATGCCACTCTTAGGCAGATGGAGCTTCCTGCTGGTCAAAGCACAGCTATGTCTCAGATCTACATCAGCATCTTATAAGACATGAATAAAGGAACAGGCTCCCTCCCTCTGTTCAAGTGCCCTGAGTATGAAACTTAGAATTTTGACTGCCTCTGGGAGGTGGGGAGCAGAGCTGAGGAATATGAAAAATATACAGGCTAATTAGCTGGACTATAGAACGTGCCGTTCTTCTTATCCACAGCAGGGAAATAAGTGCAACTGTAATTGGCTGCTGAAGCAGTTAGGTGAGTTGGTGATAATAAACTCACCTCTATATCCAAGGTATAATTTTGCCTGCTGCAGGCATAGCTCACCCCAACCGCTTACTAGACCTTGGACTTACATTTTCATGTTAAGACCACATAGTCCCTGTGCCCTGAAGAACAAAGAGCTTCCATGGTATCATTTTGGGTATATATAGCAAGAGCTAACGTACCACATAATAACAAAATAATGACAGCTAGCATTTGTCAAGTGAGTCAAATGTGTTAAGTACATAGTTTTAGCCTGTTGTTCTACAGGGTTATTACTTACTGTTGATGTTGTTGGGTGCCTTTGAGTTGATTCCGACTCATAGTGACCCAATGTGACAGAGTAGAACTGCCCCATAGGGTTGCCTTGGCTGTAATCTTTATGGAAGCAGATCGCCAGGTCATTCTCCCGCAGAATGGCTTGGTGGGTTTGAACCACCAACCTTTCAGTTAGCAGCTGAGCACTTAACTATTGCACCAGGGCTAATCACTAATTACTTACTAGCTTTCCCTTTATTCAGATGAGGAAACTAAAGCACAGGACACATTGCTAATAAGTGGTACAGCTGAGATATAAATTCAGGTAGTCTGTCAATGAATTTTAGAGATAAATTTTGTCTAACCAGGAGTGTGATTATAAAGTTCTTGGAAAGGGCAATCACTTCATTCATCTATTCACTCCAGATGTACTAAACATTTGCCCTCTATAGAGGTGTGGCTGCCAAGCTTGCCTTCTCTCCTTAAGGAGATCATTGTTTAATGGTACAGCAGACATGTACCCCATTAGTCATAATTTATAATTTATCACAAGATAGATTGTGATAAATGCATAATAAAGAGGTTAAGGAAAAAGCACTGTTGGAATATTTTGAAGAGGGTGATTGATTCTAGTAGGAGGGATCAAGGTTGGCTTCATAGAGAATGAGGAAGTAGAAAAATAGTAAAATAATACCTACTAAACATTTTCCATATTTTAGGCGTTGTTGTTGTTAGGTACTGTCAAGTCGGTTCCGACTCAGCAACCCTATGCACCACAAAACAGAACCTGCCTGGTCCTGCGCCGTGCTCACAGTTGTTGTTATGCTTGAGCCCATTGTTACAGCCACTGTGTCAGTCCATCTCGTTGAGGGTCTTCCTCTTTTTTGCTGACCCTGTATTTTGTGAAGCATGATGTCCTTCTCCAGGGACTGATCCCTCCTGACAACATGTCCAAAGTATGTAAGATGTAGTCTTGCCATCCTTCCTTCTAAGGAGCATTCTGGTTGTACTTCCAAGACAGATGTGTTCGTTCTTTTGGCAGTCTGTGAGATATTCAATATTCTTCGCCAACACCACAATTCAAAGGCATCAGTTCTTCTTCGGTCTTCCTTATTCATTGTCCAGCCTTCCCATGCATATGATGCAACTGAAAATACTATGGCTTGGGTCAGGCGCACCTTAGTCTTCAAGGTGACATCTTTGCTTTTCAGCACTTTAAAGAGGTCTTTTGCAGCAGGTTTGCCCAGTGCAATACGTCTTTTGATTTCCTGACTGCTGCTTCCATGGATGTTGATTGTGGATACAAGTAAAATGAAATCCTTGACAACTTCAGTCTTTTCTCCGTTTATCATGATGTTGCTTATTGGTCCAGTTGTGAGGATTTTTATTTTCTTTGTGTTGAGGTGTAATCCACACTGAAGGCTGCAGTCTTTGATCTTCACCAGTAAGTGCTTCAAGTCCTCTTCACTTTCAGCAAGCACGGTTGTGTCATCTGCGTATCTCAGGTTGTTAATGAGTCTTCCTCCAATCCTGATGCCACATTCTTCTTCATATAGTCCAGCTTCTCAGATTATTTGCTCGGCATACAGATTGAATAGGTATGGTGAAAGGATGCAACCCTGACACACACCTTTCCTGATTTTAAACCACGCAGTATCCCCTTGTTCTGTCCGAACAACTGCCTTTTGATCTGTGTCCACGTTCCTTATGAGCACAATTAAGTGTTCTTGAATTCCCATTCTTCTCAATGTTACCATTATTTGTTATGATCCACACAATCGAATGCCTTTGCATAGTCAATAAAACACAGGTAAACATCTTTCTGGTATTCTCTGCTTTCAGCCAGGATCCATCTGACATCATCAATGATATCTCTGGTTCCACATCCTCTTCTAAATCTGGCCTGAATTTCTGGCAGTTCCCTGTTGACATGCTGCTGCAGCTGCTTTTGAATGATCTTCAGCAAAATTTTACTAGCATGTGATATTAATAATATTGTTTGATAATTTCCATGTTCGGTTGGATCACGTTTCTTGGGAATAGGCATAAGTATGGATCTCTTCCAATCAGTTGGCCAGGAAGCTGTCTTCCAAATTTCTTACCATAGATGAGTGAGCACTTCCAGCACTGCATCTGTTTGTTGAAACATTTCAATTGGTATTCTGTCAATTCCTGGAGTCTTATTTTTCACTGGTGCCTCCAGTGCAGCTTGGACTTCTTCCTTCAGTACCGTCGGTTCCTGATCATATGCTAGCTCTTGAAATGGTTGAATGTCGACAAATTCTTTTTGGTATAATGACTCTCTGTGATCCTTCCATCTTCTTTTGACGCTTCCTGCATTGTTTAATATTTTCCCCATAGAATCCTTCACTACTGCAACTCAAGGCTTGTATTTTTTCTTCAGTTCTTTCAGCTTGAGGAATGCTGAACATGTTCTTCCCTTTTGGTTTTCTATCTCCAGCTCTTTGCGTGTATCATTATTGTCTTAGTTATCTAGTGCTGCTATAACAGAAATACCACAAGTGGATGGTTTTAACAAAGAGAAGTTTATTTCCTTACAGTAAAGTAGGCTAAAAGTCCAAATGCAGGCTGTCAGCTCCAGAGGAAGGCTTTCTCTCTCTCGGCCTTCTCATCAGTGTTCCCCTGGACTAGGAGCTTCTCGGCACAAGGACTCCGGTCCAAAGGATGCACTCTGCTCCTGGCACTGCTTTCTTGATGGTATGAGGTCCCCAATTCTCTGCTCGCTTCCCTTTCCTTTTATCTCTTAGGTACTTACAAGAGATAAAAGGTGGTGCAGGCCACACCCCAGGGAAACTCCCTTTACATTGGATCAGGGATATGACTTGGGTAAAGGTGGTGTTACAATCCCACCCTAATCCTCTTTAACATAAAATTACAGTCACAGAATGGAGGCCAACCACACAATTCTGGGAATCATGGCCCAGCCAAACTGATACACACATTTTTTGGGAGACATAATTCAAACCATGACAATTATAATATTTTGTCTTTTCGAGCTGCCCTTTAAAATCTTCAGTTCTTTTACTTCATCGTTTCTTCCTTTTGCTCAGTGTTTAAGAGCAAGTTTCAGAGTCTCTTCTGACATCCATTTTGGTCTTTTCTTTCTTTCCTGTCTTTTTAATGACCTCTTGGTTTCTTCATGTATGATGTCCTTGATGTCATTCCACAACTTGTCTGGTCTTCGGTCATTAGTGTTCAATGCATCAAATCTGTTCTTGAGATGGTCTCTAAATTCAGATGGGATATACTCAAGGTCATACTTTGGATCTCGTGGACTTGTTCTAATTTTCTTCAGTTTCAGCTTGAACTTGCATATGAGCAATTGATGGTCTGTTCTGCAGTCAGCCCCTGGCCTTGTTCTGACTGATGATATTGAGCTTTTCCATCGTCTCTTTCCACAGATGTAGTCAATTTGATTCATGTGTATTCCATCTGGTGAGGTCCATGTGTAGTCACCTTTTATGTTGGTAAAAGAAGGTATTTGCAATGAAGTCATTGGTCTTGCAAAATTCTATCATGTGATCTCCAGCATCATTTCTATCACCAAGGCCATATTTTTTCCAACTACCGATCCTTCTTCTTCGTTTCCAACTTTTGCATTCCAGTCACCAGTAATTATCAGTGCATTATCCTGATTGCATGTTCGATCAATTTCAGACTGCAGAAGTTGGTAAAAATCTTCAATTTTTTCATCTTTGGCCTTAGTGGTTGGTGCGTATATTAGTCTGTCTTAGTCTGGAAGCTCAGCTGAAACCTGTCCACCATGGGTGACCCTGCTGGTATCTGAATACCAGTGGTATCGCTTCCAGCATCACAGCAACACACAAGCCCCCACAGTACGACAAACTGACAGACATGTGGGGGATTTTAGGCATTATGCTTAATATTTTAAATAATAATAACTGTTAGTATTGAGTACTCTCTGTATACCAGCCACTGTACTCAGCATTTTTTGTGTGAATTCCTATTTTACTACTTAAAAGCAGATAAGCTATCATATTTTACAGATGAGGAAAGAGAAGCTTAAAGAAGCTAAGGAACTTGCCAAGGACACATAGCTAGAATCTGGTTGAGCTGGAATTCAAATCCTGCAGTCAGATACCAACCAGAGTGTTTTTTTATAACCACTTTACTATAACATGGGCTGTGAGTTTTATTTCAATTCATCTTCACAACAACCTTAAAGGTAAGTATTATCTAACCTATTTTACAGACTTGGAAATTAACCCAGAGATTAAATGACTTGCCCAAGATCCCATAGTAATTGGCCTAGCTGATTCCAGGGTCTTCCTGATACAATGCTCTGTTGCCATCATACACACTTGAGTTTGCTTTATTAATCTTTTTGACTGGTTCCATTATGGTACATGTCCTTTTCCCCTTCTTTATTTCAGGAAACATCATTAAGAATGAAGCCTTGTACAGAGCAGGGATCCATCCCCTTTCTCTTGGTTCTCTCTTAAGTCCTTCGAAGCTTGAGTCCCTTGTGGATCATGTGGTGGAGTTCAGTACCAACTGGCTTCAGGGCAAGTTCCAGGGCAAACGGCAGCACACGCAGATCTACCAGAAGGAGCAGTGCCCTGTTGGGCACCAGATCATGAAGGACACATTTGGGCCTCCAGGTGGATTCCAGAGGCTCACCTGGTGGTGCCCACAGTGCCAGCCCAGGCTGCCTCCGAAGGAGCCGCAGCAGCTCCAGCTCTAAGACACTCGGGAGCCCTCTTCATGGAACCTGGCCCTTTAGAAACCAAAATGTCTAGAAAGGAGGGTGTGGGCAGGGATTGGGGCTGCACACAGGAATTAGAGTGCAGGATGAGTGAGGGGGTTGCCAGTATTGTTGGTATTCATCTCACTGGAGTTATGGCTAAGGTAGAATTTTCATAGGGTTAAATTTTTTTTTTCTGTTTCAGTTTGGTTACTAACTCTACCATTGTGAGTGATGAGAAACATCATGGTAATGGTTAAAGGAAAAATCTCCCAGAACTATAATGGTGCGGTGCAAATGAAAGCATATGGAAAATAGCCATGCTCCCAGCATTGCTTTGCTTGTGTTTTTGGTTTTGTTTTGTTTTTGAAACTTTAGTTGGTTTTAAGGCCCTCCATTTTGGGAAACAGGAAAATAGAATGTTCTTTCTTCTTTCCCCTACAGGGATCCAAGGATGAGGGTAGAGTAGTATAAGAGTAGATTCAGCCTCCTGCCTGGATCCATTCCCATTGGATGGAGACACCAAGATGATAGAAGGGGTGGGAAGAAAGGAGGACCAGGGAGTTCTCCTTGGTGTGCGTGGTGGGCTTTAGAAAAAAAGCTACTTGTTCACTTCTTATGGTGATATATTTGTCACTATGGTTATGTCGAACAATTCTGGAATCAAGGGTTATGGAGAAACACTGTCATATTCTGTTAGCTACAGCTAGATGAAACTAGGGCAGTGACATGAAAATAAAGCTTTTTGTTATTTTCTATTGTTGCCTTTGTTTGGCAGTGAAAGTTCCTAAACTGTAAATAACTGAGCTCTTCAGAAGATAAAGCTTGCAAAATTGGTGAAGAATCCACTTAAAGGGAGCAGAGCAGGGATAAGAGGTGAAATTCAAACCTGCTTCTCTGATGGTAGGTGAGCATCCCTGGCATGAGATCTGGCTCAGGAGTAAGCAGGGACTGTCTTTACCTCTTTTACACCAGCCTTTGGCATGTAGATGATACTGATTTGTGTGAGTGAAATAGGAAATAGTGGCTGATATTTCTGGTTTCTCTTGTACTGTTGTCTGTCTTAAGTCATTGAGAGTTGTCAACTGTGAGGAAGCCAGACATATTATCTGTATAATGGGTCTGTATTAAATGCTTATCATGTAAAGCACTTAGCCTAGTTCTTGGCATACAATCTGCAAAACAACCCATGAAGATCGGTACTCACTTTTATTATCCTTGTTTTATAGATAAGGAAACTAAGGTCTAGAAAGGTTAAGGAACTTGCTTAAAATCACACAGTTAACGAGAGCCAGAGCCACGTATTCCTTACCCACTACCTACTCAGTCTTGGGCCCCTGACAGCTGCATCACAGGAGTCAGCCAAGTCTTGGATGACATCAGCCTGGAACATTAGGGCTGTGTTCCTCAGAGTAGCCAAGTTTCCTTTGATCCTTCAGCTCTCAAAATGTGATCCAAGGAAGAATAATCACTCAAAATGTCTCATAGAAAAGGGGTTCTATGATCAAACAGGTTTGAGAAACACTGCATGCTTTATCTCCCTCCTAGAGCTCATAGAGCTCTAAGAAATCCCAAAGTAAAACAAACTTGTTTAACTTTGCTCCACCTGGTATTTTCCAAACTACTTTGTAATCATGAAGCCTATTTTATCTTTACTATTCCTTAGAACACAGTGTAGAAAATGCTGCTATAATCCATTAGAATCCCAAACTTTTCCAATCATCAGTTGAATCCAGATGCTTCAGTCACTGTTCAGATGTGCTTCTCCCTTATGTTTTCTTTATAGAATATTGCCTGAGGCCACCATCAGAAGCTCCTTTTAATCACAACATTCTTCTATCTAAATCCTTTCTGCTTTCTTATATCATCTGAATCCAGCCTGCTTTCCTCATATTTCCTTTGTGCCACATATTTACGTATTTTCACACAGTTGTGCCTTAGACTTCTGTCTTAGACTGGGTTCTCTATAGAGAAGCAAAACCAGTGAAATGTATAAATAGAGAGAGAGATTTGTATCAAGGAAACAGCTCATGCGATGTAGAGGCTGGAATGTCCCAAGTCCATGTATCAGAATAGAGGCTTCTTCAATTCACATAGCCACAAGGGCTGGCGAACCCAGGATCAGCAGGTCGGAGAGCACGGCTCTTGTTAGCAGTCTGTGAAGATTGACAAATCCCAAGATTGGCAGGGAAGACTGAAAGGCTTCTCCTGATTCGTGTAGTTGCAGGGGCTGGCGAACCCAGGATAGGCAGATTGGAGACCAGGGCTTCTGCTCAGACTGTGAAGATCGATGAATCCCAAGATTGGCAGATAAGCTGATAGCTTAAGTCCCAAGAACCAGAGGTCAGACGAACAGGAGGCAGCCGCAGGATCCAGAGCAAGCAAAAAGCCAGAACATCTGCTTTATATTCGGATATAGGCCAAACCCCCAAGGAAACTCCCTTTCAACTGATGGGCTACTCACAGCAGATTTCATCATGGGAGTGATCCCATATAAACACTGAGAACCATGGCCCGGCCAAATTGACACACAATCTTAACCATCATGGTCCACCCCTTGTCAACTTGGCACATGTACACATCACCTTAAACAATACATAATCTCTGAATAAAGACAAAGTCATACTTGGGCCTAACATGTTACAACTAACATGCGTACAACCAAAAACACAGTAGCCCCATTTACATCTTTTGTTCTATAAGTGAAGAAAACAAAAATACTTGATACACACATACAAAGCAGAAATACTCATGAACAATTACAGTCCTCGTTTCTGCAACTGGTCATGTGGACGTAACTCTTATTTAGAACTACCTTCTTCCACCACCCATTCTGTATTTCCTTTGCACTCAGCAAGCACCCCAGCTGGTTGTGGTTCTTTACCTGGTGGGATGACCCAGACCTTCATTCCTGAAGGGTCTGGGTCATTAGTAGTCATGTTGGAATTGGGTTGCTGTAGTTTTCCACTGACTTTAATCACAGGGCATAGTAGTACTAAGAGATGCTCTAAGGGATCTCCTGCATTCCAGACATTCTCTTCTTTACCTCCATTATGTAGTATCAACCCGATTTCCTCTTGGTAATCAGGATCAATCACGCCAGCCAGTATGGTGACTCCCTTCTTTGCCTGTTGATCCAGAGGCATAAGGAGCCCAAAGTAGCCAGGTGGCATTCTTAGCTTCCAGTTCAATGGAATCAGTGCTGTGTCTCCAGGTGGGAGCATTCCTCCCTTTGGAACTAAGATCTCTAGACCTACAGAGCATAAGGTCAGGGGAACAGGAAGCAAAAATCTTGCAAGTGGGTCATGAGGGGTAATAGTGGTGCCACTCCCATTTCTACCCCTTGATTCCTGGACCCATGAATCCTAGCTATGGGAGAAAGAGCGCCATATATTGGATGCTGGTTTAGAGTGTGTACAGCCTCCTGGTGAACATTGCCCCAACCCTGCAAGGTATTGCCACCTAGCTGGTGCTGTTAACTGTGTCTTTAGAAGGCCATACCATCTTTCTATCAAGCCAGCTGCTGCATTTACTTGTTAACCTGCCAATTGTTTTGGCCTTAAGCAAAAGAGGGACTTGGGAGAAAATCTTCTACTCATAGGCCATCTACCCTCCCACTTTTTAAACTTTCATTAGTTTGTAAACCCCACTTCCAGACCAGGTTCTGTGAAAATGTTATCTGAGTAATAGATGGTTATTTGTATATAGAGGAATATATTTATGTACACATGTATGTAATGTGTATGCATGTATGTATGTGTGTGTATATTTTTAATTCAAATTCACCTCTCTAACTTAAGAGATGTTGTAAGAGTAAAATGTTGGGCATGAGCTGGTGAAAAAAATAGTGCCCAGACTGTTTCCTGTAAGTCAACATCAGCTATCAATATAGTGGGTCCAGGGTACCAAAGAAGATGGGATGGGGAATCTCTACAGACATGGAGAGAATTGGGCTCCACACCCTGTGTGTGGGCCTACACCAATTGAGAGTGGTAGAAAAGAAAAATGCTGTTGGAGTTGATGAGACTAAATACAGCAGTTAAAGTGGAAAGGAGGAAAGAGATGCAAGGATTATCATATGATGGGGTCCATAGGTGTCAGCTGAGTAGATATGGAGACTATGGGAGAGAAGTAAAGAGCTGGAGATGACTCAGAAGCCTGGAACCTGAGATCCTGGAGAGGCCATCCCCTGAATGATACTGAAAACCAGGAGGGAGGTGAGTCTGTTCTGTGGGGAAAGATGATCAGACCTGAGGCTTGTTGAGCTTGAGGTGCTTGTGTATCACCTGAACTGTGGGAAAAACATAATTAGAATAATAGACCTGGCAGTCCATAAACAAGCCAGGTTTACAGGTACAGATTTAGGAGTTTTCCTCATAGGAGTAATGGTCAGTTAGATGAGGTTAACAAGGGTGGTCATGTAGCATGAGGAAAGATGGAGACCAGAAGGGAATCTTAGAGACAGTCTTGTGTTTAAGGGAAAAGAGGAGAAAGAAGCTAGTCAGATAAAATCTTAACGGGGGCGGAGGGAAGAAATAACTTCAAGTAGAAGTTGGTCAGTAATGTTGAATTATGCTGAGATGAAGGAGGAGAACGATTGAGAAGAAGCCCTTTGAATTTGGCAGCCGATCAAATTTGAGCTCATGATGACCTTGAAGTGAGCATTTTGTGCAGAGTGGTAGTCAATCTAAAACCAAAGAAAAACCATTGCTGTTGAGTTGATTTTGACTCATAGGACAGCGTAAGAAGTCAGTCTAAAGGGATTAGTAACTGGACGGAAGGTGAGGAAGAAGAAGCAATGAGGGTTGTCTACTCTTTAAGGAAGTTTGGACTTGAAGGAAATGAAAAAGAGAGGGTCAAGGAGGAGATTTATTTTTTAAAGGATGAATAAAATGTGAGGATGTATACGAGATTAATTAAGGGGAAAAGCCAGCGCAGAGAGATCAGCAGCACCAGTGCTTGAAGATGACTGAGCTAGGGTGGGAAGAGAAATAATAAAC